ATTAGTACCGGCAAAGTACTGTATAAAGCTGTCGCCAGTATCGGATTTTATTAACAAAACTAACCTACCACCAAATAAATCTGATAATAACTGTTCATTAACTAGATCAATTCTGCGCTTATTTGTGTCAATGTTGAGCCTTTTTTCATAATTATTAATCCTTTCTGCAATTTTTCTATAATTTTCCTGATAATATTGGTCTTTATATGAGGTTAAATACTGGACAACACCTCTCCCGGCGATCATAATATCCATGTTATCCATGAGATCTTCTAACGAGTCGGCCATCAGAGTAGGTTTGAACTTAAAGTAGGAATTCCGCAAAACACTGCTAAACGCCTTGGATATAAAGTTAACGCATATTATCCACAAAAACAACAGAATATACAGAATATTCTTGTTGTACGCAATGTTGAAGTTTGAGAAAACATTGAGTTTAGTCGCCGTTTGGTTAGTGAGTGTCCGATAAAACTCGAGAAATAGATCACTGAATGATATCCTGGAGTCACACATACGGTGCGTAATGAATGTGTACATTATGTGCAGCCATATCAGAGCCAACCAACACTTTGATCATATTAGTTATAAAATTATTAATTAATTTAAGATTAGTTGCTAACCTCTACTGAGAATAATGAGAAATAACTGAAATAACGGCGGACTTCAGTGAACAACAAAATGCTTATGATTTCAATATGGAAATACTGGCCATACTGTACGAAACTAGTGGTGGAATAATTGTATTCATCATCACCAAAATAGCCATCGCTAAGACAGGTTCCATTAAGCTAGTTGATTACGATTAATATTATTGTTAAACTACAAATAGAAATTACAATTTTAATTTAAATCGTAACCTTTATTGCATCGACACATTGCTTCACAACTAAGACATTAAGTTTTAATACACATAACAAGTATTGTAGAAATGATAGATTAAATGAATCAAAATTAGTCTAGATGAGTCAAAAATAATAGCAATATCTTATTAATTAGTTTAAAATGATTTCAAGTAAGATAACAAACCATGTACTCGGTTTTAGAAAGATATACAGTGCCATTGAACTGCGTGACATCATGGTGCTTACATGCAGGTATTAAAATGTGAGCAGAGTTATTTTCGTAAATAATTGATTGGATTTGCAGTTTATTAAGGAATAACTTATAAAATGCCGAATAATCCATATTTAAAATACAAAAATTTGTAAAATATTTTAAAAATAATTTATTGTAGTTGTTCTTGAATTTCATTAAAATTTGTACAGTTTATTATAATTAAGTGTTTACTAAACAGGCGATAATATTTATTTATCCACTTTGTAAATAAACAAAATACAATTATGTATGTCATAATATTAATATTAAAAACTAGGTGGTTCTATATTTATTATTAATTTACATTAATATACTGTACTGCTAACTTGTTCAGTTTATATACTGTAAGTACAAGTATATGTATAAAAATCAACAAAATTCTATTATTTTAAATCAATATTTTAATAAAATTAGTAAATTATTCTTGAGAAAATGTCAAATACAGTATAAAAATAATTATACTAATTTCATTTTTATTATTGTTAAATGTACAAGCCATTATCAACTAATAATTTGTGTTAAAAATCAACAACATTTGATATACAGTAAAGTCAATACTAACTAGCATTGCTAAACTACATATTAATAAAAATATTACGCAAATATTTTTATATAAAAATTTGTTGTTACAAAATAATTGTGAATTAAATGCAAAATATTTTTGAATAACAGATAATTGACAAACAACTATTTAATTCTTACACATAATAAACCACAGAACTTTAACATTAAGACCTTGATGTTTGACCAGATTATATTGAAATAATGTGAAACCGCTCGCAAACTAGTTACAATCGGTCAACCCATTACCATATATACTATTAGCCATTAGAAAGTCACTGAACTTCAATAGTGAGACCTTGATGATTGACCAGATT